CCAAACCATTCCGTGATTCTGGGGTGCATTCCTAAAACTTGGGATATTTCCTGGAATATTTTTCAACTTTTCCKCACACCAGCCTTCAAAGTGGAAAAAAATCCCTTATCAATACCCTGAGACACAAATTTACTGTTTTTGTATGAACACCACAACTGAGACATCTGGGGATCTCCAGGAGGCCTCACCAGACTGAAATTTTATTCCATTTTTTWTTTTTTTTTTGGGACAGCCAAAGGACATCCCAAAGATTTTCCAGGATGAATGATGCAGCTCTTAGCCCTGCCATGGTTTGTGTGCAGTTATGGGCAGAGGTTTGAGGGTGGGATGTGGACAATGAATGAGCATCCCCAGCTCGTTCCAGGTGCCCTCTGCACCTTTTCTCATCATTTTCCACCAGCACAGCAGCAGGGTGAAGGTTTGGGAGGATGGAAAATGCCTTCCCACGTGAACGAGCGACAGAGAATTGTCATTTATCTCACAGCAGGCAGAGGAAGGGAGTGGATCAGCAGGAAAATAATGAAATATTATTCTCCCCCTTGAAAAAACCCAGCAAAATAATAAAACCAAACACAAAAAAAACTCCAAAAAACTCACAAAAAAGGTGCAAACAAACAAAAAAAAWTCCCCAAAACAAACAAAACCATGTCTCACAACAGCAAAGAAAGTGAATGAGGATTATTTCAGGAGTAACATCTCCTTGAAAAGAATTTCAAGATGCCTCCCACTGTCCCAGGTTGCTCCAAACCCTGTCCAGCCTGGCCTTGGGCACTGCCAGGGTTGAGGAATTCAGGATTTCTCTCCACACTCTGTGCCAGAGCATCGCCACCCTCACACAGCGGCCGTTCTATATTTTTAGGGGAATTGGTGTTTTCCAGCAGAACCCCAGACAATGAGGGATCAGAGCAGGAGGAGCCCTTGGTKACCCCAAAGATTTAATCCCAACCTGGAAAACCCATCCAAGGTCGGGATCCCTCAGGAGGGAGCACCCCGAGGGACAGAGGGGCTGGGTGCTGCTCTGCCCCCACAAAAACYMCATTATTGAAAGAAACCCTTCCCCTTCCAATTTTAGCAGCCTTTACTCCTTCAAGTACTTTTCCAAGATATTCTTAGCCCTAAATAAACACCCAATTATTGCCTTTGGAGGGTCCAGCCCCAGCAGGGCAGAGCCTTTCCCTGCCATTCTCGCTCCCCAGGCAGCTGCCCAGAGGTTGGTGGGAACATCTGGCCTTGGATTTGGAACTAAATATAAAAATACTAAATAAAATATAAATAGTAAAATATTAGTATTTTTAATTATATTATATTCATATTTCTATATTATGCATTTATATATTGGATTTAGAACTAAATACAAAAATACTGAATAGAATAGAAATACTAAAATATTGGTATTTTATATTGTATTTGTATTTTTATATTATACATTTATATATTGGATTTGGAACAAAATACAAAAGTTCTAAATACAACAGAAATACTAAAATACTAGTATTTATATATCATACACTAATTTAGGTATATCATATTATATTAATTACATTAATTATATTTCATATTAAATTATATTAAATTGTATTGTATTACAT